CAAGTATCATTTTATATCTATCTTAATAGATCAATAGAAAATTTAGAAGAATTATTACCATAATTAGCAAATTTTAGCAATTTAAAAGAAGTAATTTCTAATTGAAATAAATAGCTTAATTTACATGGAAATCGTTTAGTTTATTTACCTGATGATTTAAGTTTGTTAGACACTGTTGAAGTACTTGATATTTCTAATAATATTTTTTCTGATGTAAATACCTAATATTCAATTATATTAGTTAGGTCAAGTTGTGGATGCTTTATCAACAATGCCTAATTTAATTCATCTTGAAATTACCATATAATCAAAAGAAGAAGAATAATTTATTTTAGAATGTTTATCTAATCTTTAAATTTTGAATTCTTAAAAAGTGAATGGAAAATTGGAAGGTGCTGATGAAACATAAGAATAATAAAGTGAGTAATAATCTGAGAGATCCATTAGTGCAGTTTAAGATATTACACTTTAATAATATGATCTTGAATAGATGGCTGTATTTTGATTATGAATATTTTTAGATATTATATGATAGTATAAGAGAATATAAGAAAGAAGATTAAGAAGATAAACAATTTGATTAATAAATAAGAACAATTATGCTTGATTTATAATCAAAACTAAAATAAAATAATCCTGATCATTTAACTAATCTTTATATATTAACAGTAATACTTAATTTAAATATTAGGCAAAATTCAATTTATATGAAATCTGTTTTAAATCAATAATTAAACATTTCAAAGTTAATGATAAACATTTAGATGTAATAATTACTAAAATTCATGATATGCATTTATAAATTTTTAATGACATGTCTAATGTGATATTAAATATCAAACCATAATCTAAAAATACATCTTAAATTATTGAGAATAATAAATAAATAAATCAATCATAATAAGGTGATAAAACAGTTGAAAATAGATTAAGATAAGAGTTATCTGAACTTTAATAATAAAATACAGAATTAGAAAAAGAAAATAAAAGATATTTAGATTTACTAATTAAACATTCAAAAGGTGATAGATCATCATTACCTAATTCAGAACATGTAATTAAATAATAAAATGACTCATATCAATCTTAAAATTATACAAAAAATCATCAATAATAATAAAATAATGCTATTTTTTAATCAAAATAAACTTAAAATCTAAATTCAGTACCTTAATAAATTAATGTTAGACATTTAAAATTAAAATAACTAAAAGATGTTATAAATGAAATATATGAAAGTAAACAGAAATTTGATTAGAAATGTACTGAATCTAAATTACCCAGAGAAACTATGGAATAACATATGTATAGTTTTTTAAATTAGAAATATGGACTTAAAAGTCTTATAATTGAATGGGCTACATCAATAATTAATGCACTTAAAAAGTATTCAGCAGAAGATAATGATGTGGCTGTATTTGGTAAAATATTAAGAAATGAATGTGATGAAGAGTTTCGTTTTGTTTAGACTTAAGTCAAAAATACAATGTAAGAATTATTAAAAGTATTTCAATTTTATTATCTAAAAAGATGTACTTAAGAGGCAAATTTCCATTGAAACATTAAGCAGAAATCAAAGAAATGCTTAATCAAAGAATAAATGGATAACTTTATGAAGAAGAAGCTGTAGATATTATTAAATATATGTACAATTAAGAAGATTCTGAATTACTATTAAACAAATTAAAATCATACTATATTGTACCCCATAAAAATCCAGATAGAAGGTTGACTAGGGAAGAACAATTATCTTTACTTTAAGAAAAAGATAAATATAAATTAGAATATTCAGTCTTTCAGAAAATAATATTAGATTTCTAATTAAAATCCCATGAAAAATATTTAAAGAAATTTATTATCACTTTTAAATAAATGGATACAGATGCTAATGGAATCATTGATGAAGTAATTAATATATTATTAAATAATTAGAATGAATTTCGAAACTTAATTGATGTTTTAAATTTTGGAGCTGGAGATCTTGAAATAGAAAAATATTTGAACATCATTGATCCTTATAGTCATTAATAAATAACATTTTCATAATGTGTGACTCTTTTTTCTTCAGAATCTGTACCAGGTTCTAATGGATAAATCTAAATACTATAAAAGATATCAGAATAATGATTTTATCAAACTATTAAATTAATAAGATTTATTAATCTAAATTGTATATTTTCTTTAATCTTTTAAATAAATACTATATAAAGTATTAATTATTAAGAGAATTTACTTTGATTTAGACACTCATAAATATGATATTTTGATTTTAAGGCTAACACTTTATATAGTTGTCAATATGTTTTGCTTTTCAAAAAGAAAGCTGAATATTACATTATTTTTTTTTAGTTGCAATTTAATTATTGTCACAATTAATATATTTTTAATAATTGACATATAATAATTTGTTGTTAATATAAGATGGATCAATTCAATTGATCAGTCTATTATTAAATGTATAGCATAACTCAACTTAAAGTACACTTTTTAAAAAAAAGAAACATTTCTTTTTATTATTCAAATATTTAATTTGATTTCCGGAAAATTGTATTATTCATTAGAATGATTAATCAATACAAAAGAATGTTAATGTTCTCTTCGATTTTAAAATTATTTGTCTTAAGCATACATATTAAAATAAATTTTCTGGAAATATTTTAAGAAATTATTACTTATTTTTTAGTTGTTGTGTTTATGTTTTATTATAATGTTTATATGTATGTATATTGAATTATCATATATTTATTGTAGAAGCATTACCAAAAATTATAATGTCTATATTACATTAATTTAAATTTTATTTAAATGAAAATATAGATTGTAAATTAGTTAGATAAATTTAAAAATTGATATTTTTTATAAAATTTATTATGTTAACCAGTGAATAGTTTTGCTTGATATTCTATAAAATTTTTCAATAATTCTTAATAATTTAGATTTTTGAATGTAAATCTGATCCAATAAAAATTATTATAAAACTCAATATAGTAAAATATCATCAAAGATAATTAAATTATAATTCATTGATGGGTAATTCATAATAATCACCTAAATATAGAAATTAAAACAAGTATCTAGTTGGTATTCATTTATAATTATCATCAGATATCTTGCCTTAAAAATAACTAATAGAGGACACTCTTAATGAAAGCTCTATTTTTATATATGAAGAAAAACGATCTCCTGATATGGAAGAACTTAATCTTACTACAAGGGGCCAAACAAGGAAAACATCTGAAATACTGGAATTGGATTAAGGAAAAACTAGAAGTAAGATAATTCAAACTAATATCCTAAAGGAATTAATATAAATTTATACGAGAAAGAATTGCCATAAACTTTTGAAATATTGAATTAAATACCTTTGATAAAAGGAGAAAAGGCAAGATAGTTATTAAGTTCATATGAATCTCCGTCTGGTCACAAAGCATAAGCATTAGGCAGTTAACCAATAATTTAATTTCTTAAGGACAATGAAAGACTTACTTATTAAGGCTAATGGTTAAGATAATAAAGAGATGGATTTGGATTGTGTTTTTATTAGAATGGATCAATATTTGTGGGAAGTTGGATTAATGATCTAAAGGATGGTCATGGAAGAATGATTTATTAAAATAATGATAATTACACTGGATATTGGATGTAAGGAAAGTATCATGGATTTGGAACTTTTATTAGTTCTGAATTATTTTATGAAGGAAATTGGGAAAACGGAGAAAAAGTATTTTTAGTATTTTTAATATAGGATGGTTAAGGTTTAGAGATTAGAGTGAATAAATCTAAATATTAAGGGATGTTTAAAAAGGGGAAGAAAAATGGATTTGGAATAATCAAATATATTGATAATTAATTATATAAAGGGGAATTTGTAGATGGATAATATGAAGGATAAGGAGAATATCATTGGAATGATGGGAGTTATTATATTGGAGAATGGAAATGTAATAAGATGGATGGAATGGGAACATTTACTAATAAAACCAATGATGTTTATAAAGGTATAATCTTATATCTATATAATAGGATCTTTTGTGGATGATAAAAAAAATGGAATAGGGATGTATAGATGGAGTAATGGAACAATCTTAAAAGGAATATGGATTAATGGATAATTAGAAGGTTCAGCAACAATAACTAAGCCAACTGGTGAATCTATTATTATAAACTATAAAAATGGATAAAAGGTTGCATGATTTAATGATTATATGTAATTTTCCTTATTATAATATAAAGTTAAAAACAAATATCTATCATTATTTAAACAAAGCAATAAAATGATTAGGAGATATATACTGCAAATTACTATTTAAAGGAAGTATAAATTATTAATGAAAAGAGTATATTTTTCAATATTTCAAAGATTAAATGAATAGAAAACATAGATTCGAATCCTATATGTATTAAATATTGTTATTATTAGATTAACATGCTGTAATCTTAAAAATGGGTAGGGCAATATCAATATCAAAATAAATCTAAAAATTTTGACCTTAAATGATGATGTTTTTTGACAATAAAAGAATCTAAATTTTTAATGGCAATATCATTCAATTATACAAAAACTCTTTATCTATATGTTTGATTGATCATAAAAAAATGTGTATAAAATTTGTTATTTGTATTAATCTTAATCGATCATTTATAATTATAGTATCATTTATTATTAGTGATTCAAATAATAACTTAAAATTCTATCAATTAATATATTTATTAAGAGTTTTATTTTAATATATTTTATATTAAATAATTGATAAAAATTGTTTAGAGGAATATTAAATAATATTAGATGTATTTATGAATGTAATTTCAATTGTCTTATGATTCAATAAAATTTAGTCACATATTACAATTTTTTGAGTATAAGAAAATATTAATAATAATATGAGGGTATTTTAGTTATAGATTGATTTTATGATAACTCAAAAATTATATAAAGAACATATTAAAATAATAATATAAATCATAAACACATAAATCCAAATAAAAATAGAAACATTAAATCAATTCAATCCATTGTTATTTGGTACATAGGTAACACCTCCAAATTCTTATTTGAACTTTTCTATAAGTTTTGGATCCATTTTTACTACAGAATTCATTGCCTCTAAATAATATAATAAAATTAAAAATACCTTCTCTAGTGAATTCCTAATCAAAATTTTGTACATCTAATTTATCATATAATTTAGGAACAATAGGAGCTTAAAGTTTCTTATCAATCAAATCTTAGAAAGGATAATCTCTAAACCAAGGATGTTCTTTGATTTATTAAGCATCTCCATTATGTCCTAATCTTTCAAAAGGATTTTTAGTTAATAACTATATAAAATAAGTATTTTACTTAAGTTATAAGATCTTTGAGTTAATTGCTAAGAGCCAATTGAGATGGAAATACAACATCTGATTCAACAATAGATTTAAATAATTATGATTAGTTTTAAGAGAAAAAAGGCGGTCTACCTACTACCATTTCATAAATTAATATTCCAAATGACCACCAATCGACATCAAGACTATGTCCATTTTATCTAATGATTTCAGGAGCCAAATATTCAGGAGTTCCAACAAATGAATATGTAAAATCTCCTGGTTTTAAAAATTTAGCCAATCCATAATCAGTCATTTTAATATAACCAAATTCATCCATTAAAATATTTTCAGGCTTTAAATCTCTGTAGACAACTTACATTTTATGTAAATATTCTAATGCTAATAAAATAGATGCAGCATAAAATTAAGCTGTTGTTTCTGGGAATCTTCTTTTATCTCTTAAATGTTTAAATAATTCTCCTCCTCTCATGAATCTCATTACAAAAAATAATTTTTCTTATGTTTAGAATGCATATTCAAGAGAAATTAAGAATGAATTATCAATTTCTTCTAATAATTTTCTTTCTGCTCTAGTATGTTCTAATTAATTTTTGTCCATAATGTGTTCTTTACGTAAAGATTTAATGGCAAACAATTCTTTGGTATCTTTCTTCTCACACATCATAACCTAGATGAGAATAGGGTACAAATAAATATACTTTTCCAAATGCTCCTCTTCCCAATACTTTAATTAGATCAAAATCTTCAATTGAAATTGTAGTGCTACTACCATTAATTTATTTCTAAAGACCAGGCCTCTTATAAACTAATTATTCTTATGGTTTTCTATTGCTATATTCTTTCAACTCTTATGCATCTAATTCCTAAATTATTAGATATAAGAATATACAATAGGTTTTTCAGTTGGAAATCTTTTAATTCCTTTTTTAACATCATTCTCTGTTGTACATACAGATAAAAGTGTAAAATCTTCTTTAAAAAAGAATGGAAGTTTTCTTAAATTTACTGTCTAATAACATAAACATAAAGCTTCCAAGATTTATTGACGACTAAAAATTAAAAGAGTTATTACTAATCAGCGGATTAGAATCTATAATCATATTCACTTGGAACATGAATTACAAATTCTGTTCCAAGAGATGTAACACTAACTGCTTGAATAGAAGAAAACTTGATTTTTCTTTTGATCTGATTTGACATAATTTTACCTATTAGAATTATATATATAAATTAAAATTACCAAAGATTTGCATAATTCTACTATCAGACTTTGGAATAATATTATATATATATTTATTGGTTATTAAGAATATCCTTTCTTATTTCTTTTAATTCTAATTAACTTTTATGATCAAAGTAGATAACATAATTTTTTCTATTATTTTTGATTATAGTTATAATACCTCCATTCTCAAATTACTCCAAAATTTCTTTATTATTGATGATTTAAGCTTTATCAGAAAATCTACTTACACTCATAGATGATTAATTCATAATATTTTAATTATATATTGTTTATTTTTTTATATATTCCATAACGTCATTTATTAACACGCATACTTTAAATGAATTTCTCTTTTGCTTGATCTTGTGTAGCTGGATTGTTCCTACTATAATCACTATCCAACTATTTCTCTATCTTTTTATAAGGTCTTGTAATCTACTCATAATCCTCTATAATGAATAAAGCTTAATTTAATTCATAACATGGTAGTACAGCATTAACTATTCCAACAACAACTCCAATTATTGCAAATGAAGAAACATCTTTCCCTTTAGTAAAAGTATATTAAAACCAGAAATTAGAAAACTAAATTAAAAAAGATATCTTACACAATAAATAGGTATCATATATTCTAATACTTCTGTCATTTCTATAGATAGATTGAAACTCAAAGATTATTTAAATGTTCTTCTTCTAAGAAACTAATATTTATAAACCCAATATAATATTGTTAATGCTATAATTGAAAATAATATACCTAAAGGTATAATACTTGCATAAAATGAAGTCATTAACATTGTTTTTATTATACCAGCATAACGATCAGATAATGTTTCTTCATTGTTTTCAAATAATCTATTAAATATAAATTTGTATCTACTTATGCAATTATTCTTAAGTACAAACAGAATATTTTCCCTTCTATTCTTCTTAATATCTCTAATATACTTTAAGCCAATAAGATGGATCAAGAATAGCAGTTATGGCAGGTATTATCATATTGGAAATGAATACATAAGTCTAATTATAAATTAAACCACCATCTTTATAATAATTTTCATCAAAAAGAAGTGTAAATACTAACCATGTTACTAAGGCACTATTTACAAATTAAGCAATCCCAGCTGAAGTAGCAATTGAAATATGATGACCAGTATTAGTTGAAAATCCTTGGAATGCTGCTATCTTTTTAATACTATAAGACAATAGGTAATTAATGAATATGATTATCACTGAAGCAAGAGATGCTAACTTCTTTAAAAGTAGATTCTCTTTCTCTAACAATTCTTATTGTAATTTAGAAATGTTGAAAATAGCCCAACTTGTAAAACATAATTATATACCAATTAAGATTACGCTCAAAACTCTATTAAATATCTTTTTATTATTTCCAATATGTAAATTTTGCCAACTTATATCATTTGGTTCAGGAGCTTCATCCACAACTATATTTTAATCATCCAAATATATTTTTGTCTATTCTCCAAAATATCTACCCCAAACAGTTGTTCTATTCAAATTAATAAAAGCTTCTTGATCTGCTTCCCATTAAAAGGTCACAAATGCAATTCCTACAAATTCCTTCTATTCACTATTTGGATCAAGAAATTAATCAAAATACAACTTCACTTATTATTTAGCTGATTCTAAATTCTTCTCAATTTCATTAAGTTCATTATCTACATATACTCCATCAACTTTCTACAATAGTCCATCTTCTGGACTATAGTTTTCATACATTTTTTGGAGATACTTTTACTTCTCTTTAACAAATGATTCTTTTTTACCATTTAACTCTTCATATTTAGAAATATCATAACAAAGTGTTATTGAATGGATTCTAGGAGGTATCTTATATTCCTTTCTAACATTCTTTCTCTTCATCTTCTACTCCATATATTTTAATACTTTTGGATCATAAGGTACATCTAATTGAATATGTCAAAATAATTACATTTTTCCAAAAATTCATTTAGAACTTTAGTAAGTCTATCTTTGATCTAACCAGCATTCTCTACAGGAATATGACTTAACTTAACTCCAAAATCTGAAGGTGTGGTTGTATGAAAATCACAATCTCTAAGGATTGTTCTCTATTAAATTCTAATGTATTGAAGCAAAATTATTATTATAAAGATCGAAACTAAATTTAACATCTATTGTAGATTCATTAATGAAGAATCTAAACGTTTATTTGCCAATGATGATTATGTGATATAATTTAAGTCACAATTATCACTTGTATTTGTATCATCTAAATCCTTTTGACAACTTGTCCCAAAAGCGATGTTAGTTATTAAATTATAATCTCCAGAAGTACAAAACATTATGATCAAAATTGTAATGCATTATTTTATGAAATCGAAAAATAATGGTACTCCTGTTCCAAGAAAGGATAATTTTAATGGATTTACTTTCATTGACATTGTAGTTTTCTCTGTCCATTTTAAACAACATGGACAACGTGCTTCTTATAAATTAGCTATTTCTTCTTATGAAATGTTTTTGCCAACTGCACTAGCTTTCTCATATTCAATTGATTGTATACTTAATGCAGACGTGCTATATCAAAGTCTGGAGGTATGCAATCAGGATCAAAAGCTATTTGATCATCTCTTATTTACTTTCCTGCCATAATAGTTCTCAATAAGAAATCATAACTCATTATTGCTAATGTAAATTGATTAATATAATATATAATTGAGCAGAAAATCAAAATAAATCATATACTTTATGTATATTTTACAATTAATAATCATATTCAATTTTCGAGATCTGTCAAATTAATTATAACTTCTTATTGTTATGATTGAAGTTGTTTTACTTCAAACATGTCTTATTTTACATTTTTATGTTGATTCTTTTTATGTCTAGATAAACTTGAAGGATGATTAAACTTCTTATTACATTTTGAACAACAAAAATACTTATAACCATTACTTCTCTCTTTATTTCTTTATTTTTTATTTGTTTTCTATTAAATATAATTGTCTAATTCAGGAAATTCAATTAATGAATTGTAATTCTACTCTTCTTTTATAAGATCATCACTTTCTTGATTCAATAATATTTAAGCTTTTAATTATTCTATATGTTCATCTATTCTTTCAAGATTCAAATTCTACAAATCAACTATTTTCAAAAATTCCTTTAAAAATATTGCCGAAGCTAATTAAAATTATTCCATTTAATATTGTTTTGTATATTTCAAAATGAACCCATAAGTTACAAATTAAAACAATCCCAAATATTTATTAATATTTAAACATTATATTTTCTGTCCATTTCGCTGTTAAATGTATTATTGCTGACATTCAATCCCTTTTATTATCATTCAATACATATATTATACTCCTAAATACATCAAATTTAATTAATTAATTCCTAAAGACTAATCTTAATCACAATATTTTATTTTCTAATTTAATTAGTCATTCATATTTATATACATTAAAGACTTTTATATCTATTAAATTAAGAATTACTTAAATTAGTAATTGTTTAATTTATTTGGTTAATTTGTTTTCTTGTCAAATTTTAGATAATGTAGATAATTTAATTAAATCAATACTGTTTCTCTAAATTGTATTATATTCATATATTTTTCAATATCATTTTATAAAATAAAAATTGGATTTTTGTGTAGATTATTTTTATATCATATCTAAGCAGTCTTCTAATGAATAGATAAATAAATATATTAATTGTAATATGATATCAAACGAAATAAAAATAATTCATTAAGTATATAAAAAGAAAATAAAAATAAAAATAAAAAATATTTTATTAAAGATTACTTTTAAGAAAGAGATGATCAAATTAATTTGAATTTATTTTATTAATAAACGATTAGTTTCTACTTATACTTATTTTCTTAAAGAGGACTCAATACTTTTAAATACTAAATTATGATTTATCTCTAATTAAAAAAATGATGAATTTTATGATTCTTAATTTTAATTTTTATAAAATAACCAAATTTGAAAAACCTTTAAGTACTTTTCAAATTAACTATGCCTTAAAATTCTTGTTTTCTTATTTTATTTTTCGAATTTATGATTCTTAAAATTTTTCTTATTTTTTAGCTCTCTCTAATATTTCCATATCAGGTTAAAATCCTTAGAATAAGTAATCACTTTTATTTAAATCACTTTTTTCTAATAAATTAGTAGTGGCTCGAAACAATTAAATTAAGTCTTCATCCTATTTATCCTATTCATTTAGATTTAAAACTGATAATGTTAATCTATCAGGTATACTAATTTAATTATAATATTATAAATACTCTTAGAAATTACTTTTATCTTAATTTACAAATGGATATACTAAATCTCTAGTTGTTTTGAGAGATCTTAGATTTGTGATATATTCTTTCTCAATCTTAATAAAATTATTAATTAATCCTATAAAATAATAGTACATTCTTACTTCTTGTCATTTCCAAAAATCCAATAATAAATATAAATACCTCTTTATTGGATATATTGAGATATAAATACATATTTGGAGATACTGTTAATATCCAAGTTAACCTTAAAAAGAAATTTGAAATCCCAATAAAGTAATAAATACATGGATGATTGTAACCTAAATCATTTCTTAAAAATCTAACATTTGATCCTTCTTCAAAAAACAACCAATCTTTCTTTAAATCCCACCAATACTAAAATAAAGAACAAAATGCAGCAAATGGTATCCAAATTATTCTAAATAAATAATGTTTATTAGCTAAAAAGGAAAGAACTGCTACCCATGTTGCTAATAGTGTCTTAAAAAAATTCCACATTTCATCTGTATGCCAAAACTTTCCCTTGTCTCTTGCTCTGGTTAAGTAATGAATAGTTTTCATTGAGAATGGTATAATTGCTATCAAAGCTCCAGTTAATCTATTAGATGAGAAACATTAGTTATCAGGAATCTCTCCAGTTTACCACTAATTATTAAAATTATTTTTACTATTGTTTTATAATAGCAGATTGTGTAATCAAGATCCCTTAATGGTATAGCCATCGATATAAATTGATCCAAACAGAAGGTAAATCTAGATTCATATTTTATGAAATGTCCATATACAGCCCCAGCTAAAATTTTGTATAACCAAACTCTCCCTGGTCCATTTAGAATAGTGGTAAATGGGAAAAATATATAAAGTAATAAAAGACACCATAAGACAAGGGGAATATATTTAGTATATGAATCCCTATATTAAAATGGTTCTATATTTTCAGCTTAGAGACTATAGAAAACAAAGGATAATAAAAACATTGTTGAGAAATAGCTCACACGTTTAAATACTTCTACTACAGTGGAGAAGTGATGATTAAATCCTAAATATATTTTATAATTTATTCTGAAATGAGTCCAACCCCATAAATCTAAGGCTAAGTACCAATAATATATTATAAATAAAGCTAATCCTCTAAAACAAGGAAACATCTTTTAAAAGATACTGTGCTAATTTTAATCATTATCAGGATCAATATATCCTTCAATTCTTAATAAAATTATAAATGTTAATAATACTAAGGCAAAGCCTATGAACAAACCAAATTTAAACAAAATTTTACCCTTAACAGTTTTTTTTTGCTGATACTTTCTAAGATTATATCTCCCTTATTTAGGATTAAGGGCATAAAAATTATTAAGCAATAATCTTTCAGTTACATTTAATAATTGAGAACATTTATCTGGAACTTTCTTAAGAATTAAAATTTCATTCATAACTTCACTAAGAACAAGGCTTTCAAATTATTTATCTCTAAATTATGCTATTGACCATTTTTTATATTTTTTTAATATTTTAATCAACCCTTAATGATTACTAGTTACAAAGCTTTTATATTGTAAAATTTCAATATAGAATTGATAAATAGTTTATTTAAGAATATATTATTTTTCTTTGAAATTGTCCATTTGTTTTTTATAATCGCTATCATCACCCATATATTATTTCAATTTTATAAACTCTAGTTATTTCTTCATAAGTTTGATCTGCTCTTATACTTTAGTGTTTTTCTTTTGGATATCCTAATATTTCCAGATGATAAAAGATTAAATCTTAATCAAATCTTCTTTTATGGTAACGCAAAAGCCTTAAAGATCTGATTTAATTTTAGATTAAACTTGTTCATTTTCTAACAAAATCTATTTCTCTTATTTATATTATTTTTTTTTTGTCTTGTATTTGCTTTTCATTAATTTAATTTTTTTCATTATGTAAACTGAACTAGACAATTAAGTTTTTAATAATTTGTAGTTTAAGTATAACTTAATCCATTCAGGTATCATTTCATTCAAAAATAATTTTGCAAACTTCATTTTTATGTGAAACTAATTAAATAATATAATTAATAGAAATATTATTACATATCATAAATGCATTGAATAATTTATTTATTGAGTCCTAAAATAATTCATCTATGAGTGAAGACTGGAAGAAAAAAAAAAATAGATAATTTTGTCATTTTACATAAAATCTTAGGCAAAGGTACTTATGGAACAGTCTATTTGGGTTATATGGACACAGGATAGAATTAAGTGAGAATAGCTGTCAAAACAGTTCCTATGGATGTAAATTAATTAATTATTACAAGTCGGTGAAACAATCTCCATAAATATTAAATCTAATAAAAAGAGAATCAACTATTCTTAAGGCTGTTGAACATCCTAATATTGTTCGACTCTATAATGCAAATCGAACATTAAATTATATATATATCTTTTTGGAATTCTGTCCTGATGGAGATTTGAGAAAGTTTATGTAAAACAAAAAAGAGAAACATTTATCTGAAGTTTCTTTTATTATAATTCTTTTTAGTTGGAGGCCATTATATTCTTAAAGCATATTGTTGAAGGATTCAAAGAATTGTTTCAAAAGAAAATCATCCATAGAGATATCAAACCTGAGAATATACTACTGTCTAATGGAATAGCTAAAATTGCTGATTTTGGATTTGCTAGAGTAATGGAGGTTGAAATGGATGGTATTAAAATATTTAATTATTTATTAAGAACCTGGAAAGTTTTCTAGAAATGGAACTCCAATATATATGTCACCATAAATATTAAGAGGATAACCATTTTCAGCTAAATGTGATGTTTGGTCTTTGGGTATTGTATTCTATGAGATGTTGTATGGAAGAACACCTTGGCAAGCTGAAAGTTAGATTTAATTAGAATAATTGATTTTAAATAAACCCCTTAAATTTCCAACAAAACCTGTTAGAAGTTAAAAAGTAAAAGAATTAGTTGCAATGATGCTTCAAGTTGAAGAGAAAGTAATATAATTATAATTAAATATTAGGATAGATTAAATTGGCAATAAATATTTGAAAATTAAGTTATTAAAATGAATGAAGATATGGTTAGATAAAATATGAATGAAATTATGAAAGAAGATCCTATGACAAAATCAATGAGTTTAAATAAAATTTATTTGGATTAATATAAAGTTATTGGATATTTACATACTAAAATTGAAGATTATAGAGAGGATAGTAAAAATGATTTTGATGGACTTAAATAAATGTTTGATGAAGAAAATGTAATTTACGTATCTTAATTATTATAGCCAGATTTAATATTATCATAATATTAAAAGGAAATGAAAAGAAGAGAGTCCTTCTAGAAATTTCATACTTATTATCTTTATGAAAGGAATGTTGCCTTTTTTATTAATTATACTTAATTAAGAATTATTAAACTTTAAACTTTCGGAGATATCACACTTGCCAAAGAATAATTTTTATAATTAATTGTTATGTTGGCCAGAAATTAATTATTACATTTAGACAAAATCAATTCTGCTTTGAATTCAAATAAACATGATTAATTTGATCAAGAATTATGGGGGAGATTTATAGTCAGTAAGGTAAAACTTAATAATAATTTTAGGATTGTTCAAGATTACTTACAACAATTAAAAATGATATACTTATCATTAAAGAGGTATTTATTTAAGTTAGAGAAAAATGTCCTTAATTTTAACAATTCTATGATAAAATTGAAAATGTTAAAGATTTTTTGGGATAATATAAATAAATCATATCTAAAGCAATTGATACTCTTAAAACTGCTTCTATAAATTCTTTAGGAAAGGATATTTATTCTGGAATATATTATCTAAAAATCTGCTTAAATCCTTATGATTTTTTCAAATAAGTTGACTTTGATTTTAATGCCTTTTATGAAGAAACAGAAAATGCTCCTTTGGATGAATTATTAAATCTTATTTGAGAATTATTAGTGAATCTATGTAATTTATTTAAATATTAACCATTTTTAATTTACACTTTGTCTATTTTATTCTTTTCTTTAATTAAATGAAATTAGCACTTTTAATTGTGAGTAATCAAATTATAGTATATTTTATTAATATAAAATATTGTTTATATTCATTATCTTAATAACTTTACATAATTTATCCATTTAATACACATTTGATTTTCTAAATTATAATTTGTAATTGGTTAATTAAAAACAATTTACAAAGATTAATGAGTTTTTATTCGTGAACCGAAGTATTAATATTACTCAAGAATTATTAATAATAATGCAAATTATCTTAATCTTGAACTTTATTTTTTGAAGAATGAGGAGGTGAGAAAATAAAAGAGTTGAAACTAATAATACTTTAAGAGGGAATTTTACTCAAAAAATTTAATTATTTATAATAGTTATTATAAGCTGGTAATCGTCAGATATAATTAGTTAAATTTAGCTTTATTTATTTTGAAAAAGATATTAATAAGAGTAGATAGATAAGTCAATATTTTTTAAATAGGAAAAATAAGCACTCTTTTCATCAAAATACCTTAAAATTTTCCAAAAAAAATAAATAAATTAATTATTAAATTATTTATATTCAGGCAACTTTTTGTTGCTTAGTTCAACTCATATGAAAAATAAATTTAGTTGGTTATCAACATTGAATACTAAAAAAATTAATATTGGCTATTAATCAATATTAAGTTTACTTTAAATATAAAAGAGTTTGAAATTGGAATTCTTCCAAATACCCAGTATCTTAATTATAGGTTTACTATTAAAATAACTCTGGATATTGTTTTCTTTTCATTAAAATCTCTCTTCAAGTAAACATTAAATAATGAAATTGTAGATAATACTTTTTTTAATTACATATATTTAATATATGTAATTAAAAAAAATATTATGCTTTGCAAAACTTCATTTTAGAATGCTTGAAATTATTTAATCAATACTAAATATTTTTTTTTTTCTTTATAATCCTAATTTTGAAAAAATCAAATTGATATATTGATTCATAATATCTATAAATATAAAAGTTTATTATAAAAAATGGAGAAATCGTTATTCTTGTTGATACTTTTTAAATTAGCATTATCATATATATACTATGATACTGGATTAGCTAGGGATTTTGATTATACTTTTGATTCAAGTTTCAGTTGCAAAACTGGTTATTCTAAAACAGCCATCATCCAGTTTTCAAATCAATTTGAGAAAATCCCTTAAGTATTTTTTACTCATGAATACTTCGATTAAGAAATGGCTGATTTAGGTTTTAGATTATCAATAACAACTATAACTACAACATGTATTTAATAAAACGATATTGTCAATAGCATTTACAACATAAATAAGTTGTAATTAACAAAGAGTATTTACATTAAAATTAAGATGGTTTGCTTTTGATGATTAACGTATTGAAGTTTTAAGTAACTTCAATATGGATACTCCAGATCATAAAACATTTTCAATTAAAAATCCAAATGCTTAAACTGGATTTATAGCTCTCACAAGTTTTCGTTATCTAGGACCAATTGATTTTCTATTATCTGTAATAGATGATAATACTTAAATAGATAAGTCAAATAACAACTAACTCAGTGACAGTTAGTATTACTAAAGTGGCAGGAAAATTTACAAACCTCAAATAAGTTGGATATTTTGTTGTTGTTGGAGTTGCAGAAGCATTTATTAATTTAGGATTGAAGACGGTAACTGGAGGATTTAGTAGTGGAACACTTCCAATATAATCAAATAGATGGTTTGCTATTGCATTATAAGGCTTGAATTATCCAAATACTAGAAATATGAGGATAAAAGCAATATTTACGGATACAGCAACAACAAAATCTTATACTTGGGGAACTTGTAATTATATTTAATTATTCTTTTATTCTAGGGGATGAAATCGAAACTCCAAATAGCCATTCTTAAATTTGGGTTGCATATTAATTTATAATTTCATACAAGCCATTAGAATGTTTTAGTATAAGAACAAGTAGAAAATAGGCAATCAATTTAAGCATCTTACCTACATTCTATTTATAATTGGTTTAACCTAATTAAATTTATATTACAAATGGAAATTATGAATATATAGTTGATAAATCAATTAAACCACTTAAAATGAATATCTAAATTAAATGTGAGAATGGAAAGAAAGTTTAAGCAGATTTTAATAAATGTAATTCTTGTAGTATTTAAAAGACTCATTCTTTTACTTATAATTGCTTTAATTAAATGAATTATATTGGCTTCTTCCCTTTATTTTACTAAGAATTTCTACAATATAATCATTTAAAAATCAATCTTCAATCATCTTTACTTGAAGTCATAAATGTTGTCTACGATTAAACCATTACTGAAAAGACAATAGTGAAAATATAAATATTAAATTAATGACTAAATAATAGATTAAACTTTTCTTATTCATCTTATTATAAAAATAATATATTTTATTATGGTTTTACAACTCAAATCTAGCAATTATTAGTCTATCAATAATTGAAAATATTGATATCTTCATAATAATTTAATAATTGTTATTAATTGAAATTATACATTAATAAATAAATTTAAAATATTATAATTAAAAAATTTAATAAAGCCGAACATTACAATTAAAACTATCAGAATAAATAATTTATTAAATGCTATAAACAATTTAAAATTTATTAAGCTTCAATTAAATTATTAGTTTACCAATTTAATTTTATTTGATTTTAGTTGCCTTTTACTTATTTTCAATTTCATGTATAATGGAATACTAACACTAAAATTACAGTCACACTTTGTTATTTTAAGACTCAATTAACAATAAATAAAAAAATTAATATCACGAATTCGCTCAATAACAATTTTTGTATTATATTTGCTGAGGTATTAGAATTGTGTTATTGGTCAAAAAATGAAGATAAAATTACTCTTGATTTAATTTCTTATCGAGTCATAATAAGTAGTTTTAACTGTACACAATGAATAAATAGCTATATAAAATACTATCAAATCAGAAAAATAAGAAATCATAAATATTATAAAGATTCTCTTTT